CACATGCCTAAAATTTTAATCGCGACTTTCGGCTAATCATAAATTTCTTACGGTTAAGAATAAAGCAGTTCTAAAATATTATTGTTCGCTGTTCAGATTACGGCTAAATGGAATATTTACCACCAATCTAAAAGCAAAACCCTCTCTGAACTGACGCATCAGAAAATATTTTCTCTCTCTTTTTTCTCTTTTGCATGCAAGTGAGTTTTGAGAACGGACCCATTTCATCTTAAATTTTGGCTGTTTTGAAGTCGCCGACAGCAAAAACAGATTTAATCGATTTTCCGCAAATTAAAGCGGCCTTTCTGAAAACAAACTACCTCGTGTTTAATTACTTATCTATGGGCAAAATATCAGTGGAAAAAAAATTTTGACTGTGGCCGCGAAATTTCAGTTTTGCTCGATTTTTATAGGCATTGGCCCTTAAATGACACACAAATTGATTCAATATGCTGAGACCAAGACAGTTTGTCATCGATGGTAATCCCGAGACACACAGTAGAGGATATGTACCGGATAAAACCCTCACCCAACCTCAGAGGTTTCAGAGGACCAATGAAGGGTCTAATGCTCGAAATCATTGCTATCAGTCTATTCTCAAGGTACCAGGTATACACCTGGTTAAGAATCTCTTGTAAAACAAGAACAATCTCATGAACAGTGTCACTGACCTATTACATAGATTGTTGTAACGTCCGCGTACATATATAACTCCTCTCTGTGGACATGATCTGTTAAGTCATTTACATAAGTTGCAAAGAGTCTGGGGCCTTATAAAGATCCCTGGGATACTCCAACTTTAACAGGTCTTAGATCAGATCTTATGCCATTAACTTGGGTCCTTTGCATACGGTTGGAGAGGTAATCATTGATCCAGTTCCACATACTACCCGTAATTCCCACTCCAGTTAAGTTTTTCAGCAAGGATAGCTTGATCTACACAATCGAAAGCCTTGCGGAAATCAATGAATAAGACTCCAACCTTGCGACCTCCATCGAAAGCTTCTCTCCAAGCTTCAGTAAGATGTAGAAGAAGACTTTTAGTTGAATAACCTTTTCTAAAGCTTCATTGTTTATTAGTTAAAATACTATTAGATAAAATATGATCATCAAAGGACTTACATACAACCCTCTCAAGCAGTTTTCCTGGGACACTAAGCAAGGATATTGGTCTATAATTATTAGGATCCAGTTTATTCCCTTTTGTAAAAATAACAGTTACTAAGGATTCCTTCCACTGTTGGGGGAATCTACAACAATCCTTGCTCTTTGTGAAAACTTCAAACAACCCTTGTATCACAGAATCCTGAGCCAATCTAAGATCTTTAGGTGAGATTTGATCAGGCCCCACCAACTTATTTGGCTGAAGGGACTTGAGAACATCATTTTTTATCTCATCCCCTGCAATAGAAAAATTATCAATAGTAGGAGTAACCCTATTAATAAAACAAGTAGTGTCGAAGGGGAAAGGGTCTAAGTTCCTTGTAAGATTAATAGCAGTATTTAAAAACGAATTGTTGAATAAATCTGCTTTTTGTTCATCATCAATTATTATATTGCCATCATTGCCTTGTAATGGGCCAGTTCTTGTAATTGTGCTCTTACGAAGGATTTGGTTTGATACTTTCCAGAAGTCTTTAGGAGTGGATGAGTTTTCTGCCAGCTTAATCCAATATTGAGCTTCAGCTTTCCTCGACATCTTTTTTACACTATTTCGTTCAATCTTGTACTGGGCCCATAGAGCACTGTCATCAGGTTATGCTTGTGCTCATTTCAAATACTTGTATCGTTGATTCATAGCCTTTCTAATTTCAGTGTCAATCCAAGGGAATGATTTGTTTCTAATCTTAACTTTCCTTCTTTTTATGTGAGCATCCACAATTCCTTTGAATATGGTCTCCCATAAATGAACACTGTCAACCACTCAGTTAGCCAGTCTGTCAGTCAGCCGTTGCGTGAGTTAGTCAACCAGTCACCCAGCCAGTATGTTAGCCAGTCAGTCAAAAGGTCAGTCAGCCAATCAGTCGACCAGACGGTTACTGCACCAGTCAATCAATCAATCAGTTAGTCGGCTGGTCAGTAACCAGTCAGTCAACCAGTCAGTCAGCAAATGAGTCAGTCACTCAACCAGTCAGTCAATCAAGGCAGTCAATGAGTCAATCAGTGGGTCAGGTACCAGTGAGTCAGTCAGTCAGTCTGTCACCAGTCAGTTAGCGAGTCAGTATGCCAGTCATTCACCAGTCGGTCAGTAGGTCAGTTACCCAGTCAGTCAGCCAGTCAGCCAACCAATCAGATGGCAAGTCAGTCAGGCACTAACCAGTTGGTAAGTCAGTCAACACGTCAGTTGACCAGTCAAACAGGCAGTCACTCAGTCAGTCGGTCAGTCAGCCAGCCAGCCACCTGTCACTTACCCAGTCAGCCACCCATCCGTCAGTGTCAGTTAACTAGTCATATTGCTAGTTAGGTGCCAGTGACTTAGTTAACCAATCAGTCGACAAGTCAGTCAGCCAGTCGTGTACGAGTAAGTCAAGAAGTCAGTCAGCTAGTCAGTTAATCACTTGCACAATCAGTCACTAATTAGTTTACCAGTCAGTCACCGGTCAGTCAGCAAGGCAGTAAACCGACAAAGTACCGGTGAGTCAGTCAACCAATCAGTCACCAGTCAGTCAAACACTCATTCACTTAGTCAGTCACCAGTCGATCAATGTCAGTTAACCAGCCAGTTAACAGATCAGTTAACCTGTCAGTCAACCATTTCGTCAGCCACCACTGAGTCAGTAACAGGAAATTTAGTAAGTTAGCCGGTAAAGTAGCAGTGTCTCAGTCAGCTCGTCCGTTAGCCACTCAATCACCGTTTGGCGGTCAAACAATAAGTCAGCTGATTAGTCATCAATCACACAGACACTCATTCAGCCAGTCACTCACAAGTCGGTCAACAAGTCAGTTAACCAGTCCGATAGCCAGTCAGGTACTAGTGAGTAAGTCAACCAGTCAGTCAGTCAGTCAGTCACTTAGTCAGCCAGAAAGTCACCAGTCAGTTAGGTGGTCAGTCACCAGTCGGTCAGGAAATCATTCAACCAGTTAGACAGCCAGTCAAGGACAAGTGACCCAGTCAACCAATCAGTCAGACAGTCTGTGACCACTCCGTAGTTAACCATATCATTCCATGAAACAGTAAGTTGACCTTCAGTCAGCCAGTCAGGTACCAGTGGGTCAGTCAACCAGTCCCTCAACCAAACAATGAGCCAGTCAATCAACTAGTTACTGAGCCAGTAAGGTATCAGTGAGTCAGTAAACCAGACACTCAGTCACCGTTAGTAAGCAAGGCACTGTCAGTTAGCCAGTAATTTAGAAGTCAGTCAGCAAGACACTGAACCAGTCAGTCAGCCAGTCAGATAGCATAGAGTCAGCCAACCAATCAGTGAGTCAGTCAGCATCCTGTCAGTCAGCCAGTCAGCTATGGAGTCTGTCACCAGTCGCTCAACACGTCATTAGCCAATCAGTCAACCTGTGAGTCTTTCATCCAGTCTGCCACTCAGTCAAAAAGATTTTGGCAGTTAGTGGGTCAAATCCCTGTGACTAAGTCAACAAGTCAATCACATGTCAGTCAGCCAGTCAGGTAGCCAGTCAGTCACCAGTCGGTCATTAGCTCAATCAACCAGTGGGTCGACCGATCACTAAACCAGTCAGTAACCTAGTCAAGTACTAGTGAGTCAGTCAACTGGTAAGTCAAACCATCAAATATCTAGTCACTCACCAATCAGTTGGCCAGTCAGTCGCTTCAGGAAGTCAGTCAACCAGTCCGTTAGCTGGACAAGTACCAGTTAATCAGTCAACCACTAAGTCAAGCGATCAATTATCCAATATTTACCAGTCAGTCAGCCAGTCACTCACCTGTCAGTTAGCCAGTCAGTAACTATTCTGTCAGCAAGACAGTCAACGAGTCAATCAGCCAGTCAGGTACCAGTGACTCAGTCAGTCAGTCGGTCACCAGTTAGTTAGCCAGTCAGTAAGCCAGTCATTTACCAGTCGGTCAGCAGGTCAGTTAACCAGTCAGTCAGTCAGTCCATTAATCAGGTAGCTGATCAGGTATCAGTCAGTCAGTCAACTAGTCAGTCAGCTGGTCAGGTACCAGAGAGGAAGTCAACCAGCCAGACAGCAGTCCGTCACAAGTCAGTTAGCCAGTCAGTCACCAGTCGGTCACCAAGTCAATCACCAGTCGGTCAGCCAGGCAGTGAACCAGATAGTCTGTCTGCCAGTCATCTTCCAGTACGTAAGTCAGGCAGTCACTCAGCCAGTCAGTCAACAAGTCAGTCAGCAGAGTCAGTAGCCACTCAGTTAGTCAGTCCCTTACCAGTGGGTTATCAAGTTAGCCGGTCAGGTACAAACGACTAAATCACTCAATCAGTTACAGTCAGTCACTAGTCAGCCAGCCAGTCAATACGCCAGAAACTCACCAGTCTGTCAATAAGTCAATCAAGCAGTCAGTCAACCAGTCAGTCAGTCATTCGACCACTCAATCAACCAGTCAGTCAGTCATTCGACCACTCAATCAACCAGTCAGTCAGTCATTCGACCACTCAATCAACCAGTCCGTCACCAGTCAGTCAACCAGTTAATCAAGCAATCAGTCATCCAGTCACTGAACCAGGTCAAACATGGCGTCAGGTACCAGTGCGTCAGTTAATTGGTCAGTAAGCCCGCCAGTCACCAGTCAGGTAGATGGTCAGTGACCAGTCGGTCACCAAGTCAGTCACCAGTCGATTTTTATCAGCATATAAGAGATTAGAATCATCTGCAAATAAGTAAAATTTAAATCGATTAGAGCTATTAGATATATCGTTTATATATATGAGGAAAAGTAGGGGGTCCTAACACCGACCCCTGTGGAACTCCTGATAAGATTACTTCCTTCTTGAATATATTTTTAACGATTGCACGGTTTCCTTTACCATTTTAGACACTTATTACTCGTTTAACACAAAAAACAAACACAAATCTCAGAGCTCTCAAAATTGCCTCCGCATGCTACACAAACATGCACACGTTAATTTATTTAAAAATCAAACAGCTAATGACTTTTCCCACGTATCCTGTTTCCCATCAGATCGTATAAATCGAAGATCGGAGATGCCGTAGTTCTTAGAGCTTACCGGTACCCATGAAAAACAAAACATGCAACGTGTGGAAATATATTATTCACAAGTGTGGTAGTGTATACGTTTTGCTAGTGGAATATAAAGTAAGCAGTCACGGTGAGAAAAATAGCAGTTTATTGTTTTGTAAGTCAATCATGACTTCTTCCTGCGGAAGTAATCTTGGAAAAGACGCCACACTGCAAGAGAGAAAATACGTGTACTTTATTTTCTAGGTGGCAAACCTTGTTGAGGGTAAAGGTCACAATGCGAGACATAATCAAGAAAAGGGTAACATTCGTATCTAACAAACCTAGGGTGGAAATCGTTTTAATACAGACATATGTTCATATCTACTATAAGAACGGAAAAAATATCTTTCTATAGTTCATTTCGCGAAAAATCGTAATAAGCTCGGATGTCTTAGCTTATAAACCAATTAGGAGCGTGTCTAAGAGAAAACCGGATAGGGAGCACATTTTCCGTCGAGTTACTGGCCGTGATCCAAAGATGATGTGTCTAATAGAAATGCAAATTTAACTTTTTAATCTAATTTCAATTTTCTTCCGTCCTCAATGAGTTATCAGACAAGGATCCGTTACAAAGTAGCCAGTAAAATGCAGTGAGGGTGCAGCCCTCAGTGAGTTTACCCGTCCACCACTGCATTATCAAACTGAATAAGGTCCACTATAGGAGGAGTAATTACCACCATAATCTCACCTCAAAAGTTAATGATTGCTCGGATGCTGAAAAAGAATGATCAAAAATTATCATTAGTGAAAAACTGCGTAACGGTCATACTAGTGTATCTAAAAGATTGTACTGAATGCTGCGGCAAATTCTGTTGATATTGACATAATTTACGCAGTGATTCATCCATCTGCGTGTTCCAAGACTTACATGGAGAAGCACAACACGGAAATTATTTTCTGCGGGGGGGGGAAAGTACACTTAAAAAACAGAGAAAATAGCGCGCGCACAGAAGAAAAATAATGCCTTTTGTAACACAGACACTTTTGATTCAACGAATCTGCGAATGGTTGACTGCGTGTCGACACTTACACCAACGAATTGAAGAACACAAAGGATCGGCAATCGGACACCACCTCAGAGAGCAGCACGACGTGGAGCCAGAAGACATCAGACAGAGTTTTCGAATCTTAAAAAGTGTCAGAACAAATTTGACTGTCTTGTTTTTTTAAATGTTTTGTATCAAAGAACTGAAACCAACGCTAAACAAACAGTGCGATTCAATTCGCGCCAAACTATTTGTTTAGAACAATTCGTGCTACGATTATTTTATTCTTATATTCCTTTATTCTTTTATTTTCTTCCACTGTATATTGTTTACACTTTTCACATATTTTAGCGTTCGCCAAATTTTATCGTCTTCAACTTGCTTCAACATATTTATGCTGATTTGGAAAACTTAATCACTTGAAAATGACCTCAGAGAGGTCGAAACATCGTGACTTCTTAGCGCTAGCTTCTATTTCAAAGTCAATTTTGGTAATATCTAACAACTATTCCCTGAAGTGAAGGTGGAAATATTTTCCACTATACCTACCTTTTCCCATCATGCATAAGGTCAAACGCCTCGTTGATCTTGTCCAATGGAAGTGTGTGGGTGATAAACTCATCCACCTTTAGCTTGCCAGCCATGTATTCATCCACAAGTTTTGGAACACTTTCACAGCTCTTCCAGCCTGCTTTACCAAAACAGAATCAAAATGCCCTACGTGTAAAAACCACTTCCGCACAATCGTTTCCTGTTATGATAAAATCAGCGAAGGAAATACCAAACAGATTCTTAACAATAAATAAAGCTTTCACAGAAAGGTTTACATTGGAAAACATAAACCGAGACGATTTTAAATAATTAAGAACCACTACCATAAATATCGAGAACCGCCAACAGTTGCAAAATTCCGTAATTCCTTTTATTTCTCCCCAAAGGACCCTTTTGATCGACTCCTTCAAAAACTATATCAAGAGTGCTATCGCGCTTTGCTTTCTCTGAGAAATCGAAAAGTTCAAATACACCTAGATAGCCGTTTTACCCCAATAGAGCAATGAAAAAAATGATGCAGCTTTGCACGCTACAACGCGATACAATCCTGCTTCTAAATTTTGCGCTAACAGATGGTCCTTTTAACTCTTTGAAAATATAAATTTCTTGTTATGCTGTTATGCTTTAGTCTGCATATCAACCCGTTAAAATAATGTACTTTATGTCTTTTGCTAAAGTAAAATAAAGGTCAACTTCAATGGCCTATGAAAAGATGTGCCATGTACATTAACCGATCATAATATATAGTGGCGGATCTAGGGGAGAGGCCCGAAGGGGGAGGGAAGACAGGTTCCCCCTTTGTTGGATAAAAATAAAATACACTATATGAATGAAATCGTATGAAACTTACATCACAAAAATGCTAATATGTCGAAGCATAATGCCAAATTAAAAGCGCTTACAAATACAGCGAAGTTTACTCAAACAGACTTCGACGTCCCTTCTTTGTTTGGTAAATCCTTTGTTTCAAAAAGAAGGTCGACGTGACTTTTAACACGAGTTTCGTTCTTGTGCACACAGTTGGCAATTAAATTTAATGAAACTTGTATCATACGAAAGGTTAGTACTTAAAGTATAATTATTTTTTAGTTTTTATGATGCGAAATTAATAGTGCGTGCAAACAGGAAAATTCGGCAGAAAGCGACTTGGCGTCATCTAGTAGTCCCTGAAGGGCAAAAGGATCAAACTTCGAATAATAAGTAGTTTCTCAGCGATGTTTCCTCCGACGGCAGCATTCGTCAAATTATTCGATCAATCGTTTTCAGAACGAAATATCATCGTTAAAGGCTCTTTCTCTGGATTATTATAATAAAGCTCAGATATAATGCGTGCTGTCATTGGTTGAAAGGGCGTGCTCTATCAGAGTTCATAGTTCACCACTAAATTTTCTCCGGTTCTTATTGGTTTAAATCGATCACGTGACGCGATAGTGTTCATCCGTGGAAAGACACTATCAGCCCATAGTGCCCGCCCGCGGAAAGTACCCGGATGGATATTGCCCTTCCGTGGAAAATACCTGGATTGATAGTACTGATCCGTGAAAAGTTTTGAATTGTTTGACGGCCGCGAAGTTACGCAGATCGGAAAAACAGTGACTTTTCAATTCTGACAGGTATAACGTATTATTTAGCCAATGTACGGTTGCGAATTATTGACATTTGTGACAAGCTGTAGGCGCGGAAGAAAATTTAGTGGTGAACATTAAAAACAATAGAGTGTTTATGTCTCGGAACTATCGGTCTGATAGTTGCCCCTTGGAAATTTGATGTTCTTAAAACTAGCATATTTGTTTTAAGAACATCAAATTTCCGCAAGGCAACTATCAGCCGATAGTTCCTCGACAGAAACACTCTGTTGTTTAAATAGAACATGGAGTTGAAGCTGTCACGCCATCTGCCAATTTGTAACATGGCGGACCAAATGCCGAATTTTTCTCTAGGGTTTTTATTCGACCCAGAAGTCCTCTACGACCTAGAAGACGAAAGAGAAAACGACCTGCTAGCGTCGATCGATTTAGAGGATACTGTCAATGACAATGTGACCTACCCTTTAACTGAAAGTGAGGTTTCCAACAAAGTTAATTACGAAAACAATGAGCGCGGCGGCAATTTAAACAGGCAAAGATTTGAAAACATGTCAAGTGCCGCAATAGACGAGGTAATTCTAAGAGCAGAAACAAAGAAAACCAAACAATCCAACAAATGGGCCGAGTCTTTGAAGGCGAGTTTACCATATGAAAACCTCGAATAGAGTGGACGCACATTTGCTAAACTTTCTTGCCAAAAACAAAAAAAAACAAAAAAAAAAACAATCAAGGAAAGTGGACGATTTTAAAACTGGCTAGCACACACACGTTTCTAATCAACAACTATAACTTTCTCTAGAAAATGAACACCAAAATACCAATAAAAATCTTTTTTTTTTCCTTGCCGTTTTTTAATAGCTTGGTTTAGTGAAAGAAAAGTTGCCAAGAACCTCCACGAAATGAGCAACAAAGAGCTTGACCTATCCAGAAGTTAAATCCTGCCTGCGAAGCACTTTTTCAGTACCCAAAGCGAGCCGTGAAATCTTAAGTTAAAGTTTGGTACGACAACTAGCCTCTGGAGGTCAACAAAATTGAAGGAATAATGAAAGAAATTTCTAAACTAGCGTCTCTTTCGAGAATCTACACTAACCATAGTGTCAGAGCCACTGCAATCACGCTGTGGTCCACCGCGCAAGTTCTATCGCGGCACATGATGGCTATCTCTCGTCATCGCAGTGAAGCTAGCCTGAGGAATAGACAATATTCGTATTCCCCGACGGCCCTGGGACGAGTAAGCGCTTGCGCGTGAATGCGAGGCTAATGCGGGGGAAAGTTGCTGCGAAGTACAAGAAAGTTATGGCCGGTTTGGCAGAAATGGAAGTAAATTTTAAAAACTGGAAGGTTCCAGAGCTTAAAAAATACCTGCAAGCTCGAGGAATATCTGTCTCCAACTAAAAGAAGGAAGAATTAGTCGAACTGACGGAAAAAGCCCACGAACTCGCTCTCGAATTGACCGACGACTGTGAGTCCATAAGTGATGTTGTGGATGCGAAGCCGGGTTGGTTACAAGAGATGGTTCAATCCCAAATCCAGATATCCAGATGCTTTCTAACCTTCGATTGGTTAGGTTTAGTTGCCTTCTGAATTCTGTTTGTCGTGGAAGCATTCTTCAAACGTTTCGTCTCCGGATCCTGGCGTTGTTGCACTTCCTTTCGTTGGAGATGTTTAGGAAAATCAACTATCGTGGGAACAGGGTTTGCCTTTGTTGGCCCTAACCATCCTGCAAAGTGTTCAGAGCATACACGAGTATGCCTTGTGACATTTAGGCTTTGCAGCCCGCATGCCGCGATCCACCTTCGACGTCTTTCCTGTTCACTTATCCCAGGAGCGTCCTGTTTTTTTTTTTTCGTCATTTGTTGGCAACAGTGGAAGTAACATTTACAAGTTCGGGGTTGGGTTCTTTTCTTAGCCTCGCTGTTGGTACAGTTGTAGGCATAACATTGATGTTTCAGCACTTTTACTCGAAATCGAAGAAATCACTACATAAACAATACAAGTCTCTTCAACTTTTCCCCGCATCAGCCTCGCATTCATGCTCAGGGCCTACTCGTTCCAGGACCGTCGAGGAATACGAATGTTGTCCATTACAACACTCGTCCATCCAGTGAACAGCTAAGGGCTTGTTCAGATATTCTCTCTGGTGCATTGAATGGAAGATCATCGCAGCCAAGTTCCTCTGATGCAGCCACCAGTTCAGAAAATCCTCACGCAGCTGTAAATTCGACCATTGTTTATTCACAGAACCACACAGCGCAGCAGTTTGTCAAGTTCCAACCACAAGCTTTAAGCAGTTGTTTTCAAATTGTCACCGTCCAGGTTTTCATGAGCCAAAATTCGACCGGATTTCATAAATCATGTAACTACAGACACTGGTTTTTGTACGCAAAAAATACACTTTTATGCATTCGAATTTGTCGCGTTCCCAATGCCGCAGACACGTGGAGTTCGCCAGTATAACCACAGTGTTGAACTTTAGACAAGTAGCAGCATCAAACTCTTTATTCACTTAAGCTGGCAGTCTTTATACAGCACAGGCGGTAAAAACTATACAACGGATACATGAAGGTTGGATATGAGGAAAACCGAAAGACTACGAAACTAGAAATGATAAAAATGGCGGATATTACAAGCGTAACTTACATCGGATCTTGACTCCGGGGTAGAGAACCCCTTAACTCCGTTCGGCTCCGAAATGGTTTCGCTACAATGACTCCTCGCAACTGAACTACTTGCTAATAGAAGGCGAATTTAGTTATTACACTTTGACGTAGGGGAAATAGAAATGAACAGTGCTTTGTGTAGCTAGCTTCGAGCGGATATTCACTAGTCACGGAATAGAAATCAAACAAAGCTTGCTAACAAATTTAATACAAAGTCATTGAAAGTTCCTTAGTGTCTTTGTGCTAAAAACGGAAGAGTTACCTAAGTAAAAAAAGATTAGAGTTCGTATCCGTAAACGTGACAAATTGTTAAGCAAGATTTGCGATTCTTCGTGATAGCTTTAGATGGTTTGACATTTTGACAGCTTTGGCCTTGTTCATCCAATCGAATTTGGTTTCCCATTCTAACAAGGATTCTGATTGGCTTATTGTAAGCGTGCTCTGTCAGAGTATAGAGCATGCTGACAACACTGTTGTTCGCTTTGAAAATAAAGTTTGTTTGGAAATTGCAAGTAATGTGTGGGGAATTTAACGGATTCTTTATTATAAAACAAATAGAGAAGCATTGACTGTGCTCTGTTCTGTAGTAAAGCACTTAGGAAGCGTTAGAGCACTCAAGAAGAGGGGAGAAACACTCGACTACGTCTCGTGTTTCTCCCTACACTTCTTTCGTGCTCTAGCTGCTTCCTGCGTGCTTTACTACAGAACAGAGCACAGTCAAGGCTTCTCTATTTGTTAATTAAAAACTGCGTCGTGCAGAGCCAAGAAATCGAGAATTGAGGTACTATGCGAAATACGAATAACTTCTGAGCCCCTTTCCCTTTTCGTACTACTACATATTAGTTATAAGTCACGTTCAAGTCAAATCGCCCCCGGTGGCAATTTGACTTCGG